GTGAATTTCCCTCCATCTTATGTTTACTCACTATTGTCCTTCTTAGCCTCTGTTTTTACCCTATCCCTGTTACTCTATCTTCTACCTTTATTCTCCTATTCCTTATTCTACCTACCTCTCTAAAAGTCCCTCCCTTATCCTCTTCCCTCGTCCTCCCAAATCCCAATCTACACACCCTTTTAGAAGGAATCAGAATAAGGAATGGGGTAATAAAACTATCCCTTTTTGCAGATGATATGATTATGCACTTGGAAAATCCCAAAGACTCAACTAAAAAGTTAGTTGAAAAAATAATTTTAGCAAAGTAGCAGGATATAAAGTAAATCCACACAAAACAGCAGCATTCCAATATATCACAAACAAAACCCTGCAAAGAGACACTCCATTTAAAATAACTCTGGGCAGTATAAAATACCCAGAAGTATACCTGCCAAAACTATCCCATGAACTAGATAAAAAAAATTATAAAAAACTTTTTATACAAATAAAATCAGATTTAAATAATTGGAGAAATATTAATTGTTCATGGGTAGGCAGGGCAATATAATGAAAATGACCATTTTACCTAAACTAATTTATATATGCAATGCCACTCCAATTAAATTACCAAAAAGTTTTACTGAATTAGAAAAATTAATAATGAAATTCATTTGGGAGAACAAAAAGGAAGTTTATTAGTTCAAAGGAACTAATAAAAAATGCAAAGGAAAGAGGTTTAGGAGTACCAGATCTTAAATCATATTATAAAGCAATTATCAGAATTATCTGGTACTGGCTATGAAATTAAAAGGTAGATCAATGGAACAGAGTAGACATGCAGTTCATGGCAGCAGGTAAATGTAGTAACCTTGTATTTGACAAGTGACAAGTATACAGACTTAAGATTTTGGAATAAGAATTCATTATTTGGTAAAAATTGTTTGGAAAACTAGAAAGCAGTAATGGCAGAAACTTGGCATAGACCAATATCCCATTTACCAAGATAAGGTCAAAATGAATAAATGACCTAGATATAAAGAGAGATGTTACAAGAAAAGTAGAATAACATGGAACATATTACTTATCAGACTTATGGATAGGTGAACACTATAAATAAACAAGAGATAGAGAGCAGAGTGAGGTATAAAATGGATAATTTCAATGACATTAAATTAAAAAGCTTTTTACAAATAAAACAAATGTAGCCAAGATCAGAAGAAATGCAGAAAATTGGGGAGAAATTTTAGACAGTTTCTCAGATAAAGGTCATATCTAAAATATATCAAGAACTTTATAAAATCTATAAGAATATGAGTCATTCCCCAATTGATAAATGGTCAAAGGATATGAACAGGCAGTTTTCCAATTAAGAAATGAATACAATTTATAGTCACATGAAAAAATGTTCTAGATCATTATTGATTAGAGAAATGCATATTAAAACAACCTTGAGATATTCTACACCTATCAGATAAGCTAAAATGATTGAAGGGGAAAGTGACAAATGTTGGAGGGTATGTAGAAAAATTGGGACACATTCATTGTTGATGGAGTTGTGAGCTGATCTAACCATTTTGGAGAGCAATCTGGAATTATGCCCAAAGAGTTACAAAACTTCATATGATCTTTGATCCAGCAATACCACTACTAGGTCTAGTTCCAAAGATGATTAGGGAAAAAGGAGAAGAATCTATATACTCTAAAATATTTATGGCAGCTCTCTTTATGGTGGCAAAGAACTGGAAATTGCAAGGATGCCCATCCATTGGGGAATTGCTGAACCAGTTGTGTTATATGATTGTGATGTACTATAAGAAATGATAAGCTTGATGATCTTAGAAAAACATGAATAGACTTGCACAAAATCATGAAGAGTGAAATGAGCAGAGCCAAGAGAATGTTGTATACAGTAACAGCAATATTGTTTTAAGAACAACTTTGAATGAATAAGTTATTTTGAGTATTATAAATAACTACAAAGGACATATGAAGGAAGATGGTATTTGTATCCAGAGAAAGAACTGATAAATAGAAGTATGCATAGAATGATTTTGCATATATATAATATATATATATATACATATATATATATATATATACATATATATATATATACATATATATATATATATATATGCACATACACACACATACGCATATACCTATTTGTATCTAATACTAGCCATTTCTATGGTGGGGGGAGGGAATAAAAAAAGGAAGAAAAAATTACATGATAACTTTATTATATATTTAAAAGGATTAGCAAACTGTACATAATAGATTTGCAGTTTCATGTGCAATCATTTTATTATACTGTATTTTGGAAATACCTGTTTTATTTCATAAATTAAAAATAAAATAAATTTTTTTGAAAAGACTTTAGGGGCTATATCCTTAGATGGTTCCTCTGAAGATGAGAGATGTATGCTTCATTAATTCTTCTGATTGTGGTGTTTTATTTTTTTCATTTGTAACATGTCTGGTAATAATTTTGATAGTGATTTAGGAGAGACAAAGATGACTGGTGATGGTCACTCCTATTTGAGAACTCTAGCTTAGCTCACAGAAATTGAAGTATTGCTTCAATAGGGTCAAACAGCAATAGAAGGTCAGCTCTGTAATAACCTCTTGGTTGCCAACTATGCAGAATCTCAGGTTACTGGGCCATTCTGCTTTTCTTAAAGGAAGGATTGTATTTGAGGATGTGGGATTTTAAAGGGAAGTAGCTATTTAAAATACTGTATTGAGTTGGTTTGCTATTTCTGGTCCTCCCCACCACATACAAAAGAATGCCAATAATAGTAATTATTTTAAAAGGGAGGGACTGGTCTGGTGTGGGAGAGCTCTTGATGAGGAAACTCCTTTTACCAATGCAAACTGAACCAGCTCAGTAACTTAGAGAGTTTTAGAGAGTTATATGGGGAGTAAAGACTTCATCCAGGGCCATGGGACCAATATGTTTCAGAAATATGATCAAGGCTTCCTTACCTGAGGAAATAAACAGGCAGCCCACAGTCTAGTTGTGGCCCAAATCAGCTGAAAATGTTTTCGGAAAATACTTAACAAAATAAATGAAAATACAATAAAGCATTTAAAAAAATTAGAAGCTCATCCTGCTAAGAGATCTGACTTCACCATGAGCTGAATCACAGCTCTGGAGGAGAGAGAATGAAGGAGATAGTTTTCTCCCTCATGGAGGCAGCAAATTTCAAATTTCTCTGACTTTTGAGCCTATTTTCATTCTCTCTCTCTCTCTCTCTCTCTCTCTCTCTCTCTCTCTCTCTCACACACACACACCACACACACACACACACACAGAGAGAGAAACACACTTGTCCAGGATGTGGGCTGAAGTCTCTCAGGATCTCAGAACCATGCTATTTTTATTTTATCCTTTCTTTTTTTGCAGTATCCTTTGAGATATTATTTAGGGGAGCAGACACTGGTAATGTGCTCAGAGCTGGATAGGTCAGGAGGAGGGAACCCGGCAAGCTCCCCGTGTCCAGGTCTCAGAGTCCAGCAACAACCGCCATCCCTTGGGCGAGTGAGTGTCACAGGGAGGTTGGTTGGCCGTCAGTTGTGACATTGCAGAGGATGTGGTGCGGGTGTCCCCCCCCCCCTTTACTGCTCCTCTCTCTGAGTTTTCCCAGGGAAAATGTCCCCTTAGGTGGTGTGGGGGTGAGGTGAAGAGGAGCGAAATCTGGTATTGAAGGGGGAAAAGAAACTCTTTTATTAAAAGCAGCTGGTACTGTGTGGGCGCTCTCAGAGCGGTGAATAATAATAACCACACCAATAACAAAACAAGTGTGACTATCAGAGCCCGGCACGTGCCCCACCCCCGCCCCTTCAGTCCACAGCAAATGTAGCCACCCCTAGGTAGTCCCTATCTCCGTGGTTGGCCTAGTTCTCCAGTGAGTGACAGATTAAGTCTGGCGACAGGCTTGGGCTAAGGCGATGTCTTTGAACCAGAACCCAACCCAGGTTTTCCTGACGGTGTGCAACCGAAAGCAAGGGCCAAGCTGCCCTGACTTGGCTGTCTCTTCTGGGGTGGGGGGTGGGAAGATAACAAATGGAAGTGATCGCTAGTAAAGCCAGCGTTGTGGACCTCAAGGCTATTTTGTAGAGCAACTGGCAGTAGGGATAAGAGGCCCACCTAGGTCACAGATTCTGAAGGCAGAGCCTGGGGCTAACTGCAGTAAATTGTAAGTTCCTTGAAGACAAGGACTGTTCCCTCCCTCAGCCCCCTCAGTCCTTGCATCTCTCTTGCGCCTAACACTGCGCAGTGCAAATCGTTGACTCTTAAATGTTTCTTGGCTGGAATGGAATGGCGGGTGCTGCAGGGCGGGCGTCTGAGATGGTCCAGGAGGCCACAGCCACAGAGATTTCTCTGCAGCTAGCTGCCCAGAGGGGACCAATTCGGGGGGAATCTCTGGTGAAGGAAGCTCGCCCAGCCAGGTCCAGGCTGAGCTGGGGCGCTGGCCAGCGGATGGGAATCCCAGCGGCCAGGCTGGATGGGAGGAATCCGAGAGAGCCCTAGAGCTAGGAGCCAGAGATCTAGAGCCGAGGGAGACCCCTGCGGCGGGGGTTGGAGCAGAAAAGATAACTCAGTGGATCTCCCCGCTCCACTCCCAACCCCCCAGTCCCCAGACCTCGGGGCTTCTCTCCCAGGGCTCGGGGGCGGGGAGGGAAGCCCTCTTATCCAGTGGCCAACGAGGCGCTGGCTGGCTCAGGGCCCGGCAGTGGGACTGGAGCCCAGGGCTCTGGGGCGGGTGGAGAGGGCTCCCCCCTTTCTCGGGGCGCCGGCCAGAGGGGAGTTGGGCTGGGGGCTGGGGAACGGAGCAGAGCAGGTGGGGCGCCGGCCGGGACTCCGCCCCCTGCACGGTCCCCGTTGGTCCACGGCTGCACTTCCCCAGCCCCTCTCCCGAGCCGGAGCGCGATTGGCGGCAGCGCTTGTCGCTCGGAGGGGGCCGGGCAGTCCTGCTCTCGGGCTCGGCCCGCTGCAGCCGCCGCCGCTGCCGCCGCCACCTCCTCCTTCCTTCTAGCAGCGCGGGCTGGTCTGCCCAGAGAGCCGGCGCAGGGCGAAGGGGGAGCGGCGTGGCCAGGCGCCCGGGCAGCTGCAAAGTTTGCCACACTTGCGCGCTACGGTGCCGGGCTGCCGGGCGCCGCTGAGCGGCTGCTGGATGGGCTTCGGCTTCGTTTCTCCCATTTGTTTGCGGGTCTTTTAGTAAATAGAGCTATTAGCCTGGCCGGCGGAGGCAGCGGGAGCAACAAACTTGGGGCTGTGAGGCGAAGATCCCGCGCGGGGGCTCCGGGCCCTGAGCTAGCAGCCCGGGCTTTGCTTTCCAAAGCTGCGGACCTTAGAGCCTGGCAGCTCGGCATCCCGCCATCCCGCCGGTTCCAGATCGCGGAGTCCTTTGGAGCGTCGTGTGGGGACAGCAGGGATTGGGGGCAGTCCAGTGGCTTGGGGGAGCGCGGGGAGCTCCCCCTCTCTATGGAGGGAGCGCAGGATGGTGTGCACCAGGAAGACCAAAACTTTGGTGTCCACCTGCGTGATCCTGAGCGGCATGACCAACATCATCTGCCTGCTTTACGTGGGCTGGGTCACCAACTATATCGCTAGCGTCTATGTACGGGTGCAGGAGCCGGTGCCCGACAAGAAGCTGGACGAGGACAAAGGGGACACGCTGAGGATCATCGAGCGTCTGGACCACCTGGAGAATGTCATCAAACAGCACATTCAAGGTACGCCGAGCCCTTTCGCCTCCGACGCTTCCTTGGGAAACTTTGCAGGACCGACCGGTTGGTGGTGATGGTGGGGTGTGTGTGAGTGTGAATGTGTGTGTGTGGGGCCGGGACGGGGGGTGGGGGGAGTAAATGGGGAGGATGAAAGAGGTGAGGGCGGACTCGGAACACTTGTTTCTGTGTGGACGTGCAAGTAACATCGGCCCGCGTCTGTGTGACTAGTTAATGATAACAATAGTCTAATGAGATCGCATGCAAGTGTGCACGCATGTCGAGGGTAGCTGTGTGGGAGACTTTACCTGTGACTAACCTGCAGACGCTGTCTGTGTATACACATGCACACGCAGGGGGTGTCCACTAGTGCCTGAGGCCGGCTCTATGTGTGTGTGTGTCACACACACACACACACACACACACAGAGAAATCGAGAGACACAGAGACAGAGAGACTCATTCACACACAGAGACACATGTGCACACCCTCCCTGACCCCCAAAGGGGTAACCAGCACGTAGTCACACAAAAACTAGACACGTGCTAGTCTCTCTCTCTCTGTCTCTCTCTCTCTTTCTCTCTCTGTCTCTGTCTCTGTCTCTGTCTCTGTCTTTCTCTGTGTCTCTCTGTGTCTCTCTCTCTGTGTCTCTCTCTCTCTCTCTCTCTCTCTCTCTTCTCTCTCTCTCTCTCTCTCTCTCTCACACACACACACACACACACACACACACACACACACACGAGTCTTTCATTCCTTGCTGCCTGGGGTAGGGAAACAGCGGCTGGGCCCTAGCAATCCTTGGCCCCCCACCCCCAGCCCCCGCGCGGTGTGGCGGGGGGCGTGCAGGAACCCGTCGGGGAAAGCAATGAAGAAAGGAGGCGCCGCGGCCGTTTCAGTCTGCCCTGCTCTCCTTTCTGGGCTAGTAGCTGGACAGCTGTAAGGAGCTTGGAAGCCGGGAATCCCCCAGCCTGTGGCCCTGGGGGAGGGGCCTGACAAGCCCGGCGTGGAGTGGCTGCCCCTCCCCTCCCCTCCCGTCACCCCTTCTTTGCCCCTCAACTCCCCAGCCTCGGGTCCCCTACTCGGCCACTTGTGCTGAGTGATCACCCGAGTTCTCCCGAGGGGGGCGCAGGTGATGGATCTCGGAGCTGGGAGCTTGGGGCCCAGGGCATAGTCATGGGCACGCAACTAGATTGGCAGCCCCGGAGTTGGAGCTGGTGCTGAAGCTGGACCCTGGAACTGAGAGATCGGGAGGCTCCTGGCTAAGAAGAGCACTGGGGGCCCTGGCCGAAGTTGAGGGGGAAAGGGGATCCTGAAGACCTACAGTCGAGTGTGGCTGCTTCCCTGCGCCTCCATGCCTGAATGTGCCTGCTTGATTCCGTGTCTGTGTCTATGTCTATGTGTGTATGTGTGTATGTATGAGTGAGTGTGCGTGCCTGCGTGCGCGCGCCTGCCTATGTGTGCCTATGTGTGTCGAGGGGAGGCTTAAAGCATCTCTTTTCCCTGGCATTCCTGAGGCGTGCTAGGCGGTGTCAGCTCTTAGTTCCCGACTACTCGCTTGAAGGGAGGAGGATGTTCTTGTTTCTTTTTTTTTTTTTCCCGGCTTGGAGCTGGCTGGAAGCTGCTTATGCTGCCCAGGGTGGGGTGACAGCTTTTCAAGCCTGCCCTGCCCCCTGCCAGACAGGCTTTTAGCTGAAGACGGGCCCCCACTGAGAGAGATAAGAAGGTGGGACACTCACCTCCCCCCCACCCCCATCTCAACGAGTCACTATGGCACAGGGCATGCTTGAATTTTGCACTCAAACCATCTGACAACACAGGGCCCACCCGCTATCCCCACTGCCAGACTGAGTTTGGTCTGTCTTCTATCGGGCAGCCCCTGTGGCTGGAAAGGGGTGGAAAAAGGGCTCTGTTTTTTCCTTTTGAAGGGAGCTTTCCACTTCCCAGGCCAGATCTTGCTACTGGCTGTTCAGGAATCACAAAGAGTGTAGCTCTTTTGGTGGACAGATCTGTTAGAAACAACTGGCCTCAGCCTGCAGCTCTCCACAGAACACCTGCCTTCTGTCCATTAACCAGGCCACCTCAGAATGAGCCTTTTCCCCCCTCTGTCGGAAGCCTGTTGCTGCTAAGTCTTACTTGTCCTTTATCATCAGATACATCTGGGTTCCAAAAGTTACTCCACAGTAGAAATGGAATTTTTGCCTCAGGGGCATTCAGAACTTTGTGAAATGAGGCTCACTGGTGGCCTGACTTTAACATTTCAAGTCTGCTCCCAGAATCAGTGTGATTTTTATTTATGGATGTTTTCAGGAGACATAACAGGATCATCAGACTGAACTAGGACCCTGGGGTGTAGTTATAGGGTCCTGGATGGGAAGGTTAAGGCCAACCGCAAAGGTATTTTCTTTTCAAATTATAATAAGGGAAAAGGAGGCAGGAAGAAAGCATAAGTGAGGACTCACTGCTTAGGTTCAACAAGATGATAGCAATGGATCATGGGGAGAAGGCAGGGGTGCTGAACTCTGTATTTTATTTGGACCAGAAAAGTGAGAACAAAATGGCAAATGAGGGGCTGAAACCTCTCATATGTAGGGATGATCACCCACCTGCCCTTATGAGTTCACAGTCAAGGTATGTTTGCCACTTGCTACCATCATAACTTTGGGCAAAGAAATCATTTAACCTCTCTGGACCTCAGTTTCTTCAACTCTAAGGCTCCTTCCAGTTCTAAATCTATAACCTTTAACTACATCCCAGGGTACCAAAATAATTAGCAGTTGTGATTGCTGAGTTACTGCTGATCTGAAAGACCTTGAAGAATAGAAAAGGTGTGGCACAGGACTGAAGAAGGACAACCATTTCAATTTTTTGAAGGGGGAAGAAAATGGGATTGTGAACCTGTCTTAGATGGTTGGCAAAATTCTAGTTTGTGTTTTTAAAGGATTGGTTAGTGAAGGTCTAGAAAAGGCAGTATCAACCACAACAAAGCACATGACCATCTCTCATGTTATTTTTGTGGAAAGGATGGAGAGATATGGGCCAGATGATAGTATCGTTAGATGAATTCAGAACTAGTTAGATGGCCAGATCCAAAGAGTAGTCATTTATGTTCTGGCTCTCACTACAAAGTGGTGGGCTCCAGAGATTGCTGCTTCATCCTATGCTATTTGCCTCTTTCCTTAATGACTCCGATAAATAGATAGCATGTTTAACAAGCTTCTAGATGCATGAAAAAAAATTGCCAATTAACATGCTGAAAAAACAAACAATAGGCTTTACTAGAGTGATCTGGGTCAAGAAAAGGGGCCCTGGAACATTTCTCGAAATGAAAATCGGCTTGATCAAAGTCTAGGCCTGATAATGGAGAGTCGGGGCATTGAAACTACCATATGAGGCAAGTTGGCATTCTGGGAAAGGGTCCAGTGGTGCCTTCTCTCAGGTACTGGAGGGCTCAAGGCTTAAACTGCTGCCGCCAATTACTGTTAACAGAATTTTAAGAAGTAGTCTGGACAGGACTGGTCTCTAACTTGTGAATACCGGGAGCCCTACAAAGCAGGTGAGAGACAGGAGGAGTGCCAGAAACAAGTAGCAGTTTAATTATTTTCAGAGTGCGGAATGCTCTCTGTGCTAGAGTAAAGGCACAGTTTATATACATTGCTCTGTTTGGGACTTAGTGAGGACCGGATGATAGTCTTTAAGTATCTAAGGACTATTTATGTGAAAGAGGGATTGAACTTTTTGTGTTTGGCCTTGGATGTCAGAACCAGAAGCAATGGGTGGAGGCTGAGTAGAGGCATATTTTGGCTTGATGGAAGAGAAAGCTTCTCAGCAATTCAAGCCATAAAAATAGGCGAAATGTATTGCCTCAGGAGGCGGTGGGTTGGCATTCCATGCACTTCTTCAACCAAAGAGTGCTTGGGTATGTTGTAGGAGGGATTCTTGGTCAGGTATGGTTGGATTAGGTGGCCTCAGAGGTCCCACCCAGCTCTGAGTTTAGAGAGCCTATGATCCTATGACACTCCCATCCATTTCCCTTGAGGCAGGCAGAAAAGAGGCAATGCAAAGATTCTTCTGTGAGAGCCAGATGTGCAGTTACTAGCTTTGAGCCATTAAAAAATAGAGAAGGTATCGTGACTTTCTTTAAGAAAAACCCTGCAATTAGCATTGTTCATAACAGAAAACCGGGGGGAACCAACAAAGCAACAAGGCTTTCCCTTTTTAAAGACGGAGGTTTGAAAGGGCATACTAAATCTCCCTGAGCACATCAGAGAGCAAATGTCTTAAAGGACTCGATGAACCAAGCTTTAGGGATCGAGTCTTCAGCTCAATTCATCAATCAATCAACAGATGTTTAAACAATTTGGTCTTGATTCAAGGAAGTCAATGGGTGGTTCCTTGACCAAGCTGGCTGACAGAGCTCTTGGCAGTTCTATTAGTTTATGTTGCTGAGTCAGGACTATTCATGGCTTATAATCATCCTCCAACTAATATTTATGTAGCTCCAGAGCCTAATTCAGTTTACCTAGAAAACACTGTGAGGTGGGCAGCGCTAGGTTCTGTATGCACAAAAAACAAAAGCAATGCAGGCTGCTTCCAAGGGGCTTACATTCTAATGGGAAGATGTATGTTCAGAGTAATTGCAAGGGGTGGGGTGGAGGAATCAGGAAAGACTTCTTGTAGGTGACACTTGAAATGAGCCTTAAATAGAATTAGGATTTCAAAGAGAGCAGATGTATGGAGGGAGAGCATTGCTGTCATGGGGCACAGAAACAGGAAAAGGAATGGCATGTACAGCCAGTTTGGTTGGAGTGACGTGAAATACACCTGGAAAGAAAAGTTGGAGCCAGACTATGGAATACTTCAAAGGCCCAAGATGAGTTGGTGCTTACACTAAAGGTAATAGTGATCCATTGACATTTGTTGAATGGAAGAGTAGATATGATCATATTTGTGCTTTAAGAACGCCAGTATTGTACTTGAGTAAAGCAATTTGGTTTTGATTCAAGGAAGCC